TACTGAATGCCTCTTCTTGGTCGTTGCCCCACTGAAACCTCTGGCCTTTTTGCGTTAAGCGGTGTAGACAGGCGGCGATGTTGGCAAAATTTGGGACAAATCGACGGTAGTAGGTGCAGAGACCCAGAAAGCTTCGCAGCTCATGGAGATTTCGGGGCTGCGGCCAATCTCTGACGGCTTGAATTTTCTCCTGATCCGTCGATATGCCCTCCGGCGTCACGTGGTGCCCCAGGAACTTCACCTCTCGTTGGAAGAGACTGCACTTCTTTGGGTTTAACTTGAGGCCTGAAGACGAAAGCTGCTGTAGAACATCCCTTAAGTTCTTGATGTGTTCGTCGAAGTTGCGTCCCATGACTATGATGTCATCCAGGTATATGAGACACGACTTCCACTGCAGCCCTTTTAACACGCGCTCCATCAGCCTTTCAAATGTAGCCGGGGCGTTGCAGAGTCCGAATGGCATGACATTGAACTGCCAGAGACCCCCATTAACGCCAAACGCTGTTTTTTCTTTATCTTTCTCGGCGATCTCTACTTGCCAGTACCCACTCTGCAGGTCGAGGGTGGAGAACCATGACGTCCCGGCTAATGTGTCCAATGTGTCGTCGATCCTTGGGAGCGGATAGCTGTCTTTCTTGGTGACATCATTTAACTTTCGGTAGTCCACACAAAATCGGGTGCTTCCGTCTTTCTTCTTGACCAAGACCACTGGGGAGCACCATGGACTTGACGATGGTTCTATTACACCACTCTTTTCCATTTCACTTATCAGCTTCTGAACCTCGTCTCTTTTTGCCAGGGGAACACTTCTTGGAGGCTGTTTAATGGGTCTCGCGTCTGCTGTATTGATTTCATGCTTCACCACTGATGTTCTTCCTTGGTGCTCTTTTGTCAACGCAAAGGTAGAGGCATATTTCCATAATAGCTGCTTAGCCTTGTTCCTCTCGGAAGGTGATAGTTGGTGTGTCCACTCTTTTATGTAGCCGTCGAGGTGCTTCTTCTCCATGGCTGCTGGCTTTTCGGTGCTAGTTTCCAAATTAATTACAGCTTCAGCTGGTGTGCATTGTCCAACATCGGAAAATTGGCAAATTTGTTCTTGCTTGTTTGACAGGTTCAAAACTCTAACAGGAATCAATCCGTCCTTGTTGCTTTTCACCAGGGCATTCGCTATTAGGATGTTACTGTTTACGTTTTCTACTGGTTCCACCACCCACAACTTCTCGGCTCCACAATCTCCATTCATTGGTACCCATATTATTGCTTCGGCACAGGGCGGTATTATCTCTGGATGGTCCGTAGTCAGACGTCTAATGGGTGTACTTTCATCGTAGCCCACGTTTAACGGAATTTCGACGTTAGACCAGGTCATCACATGCTCTTTCATATCCAGATTGATACCGAAGGCAATCATAAAATCTGCGCCTATTATCACTTCGTCTACGATATCAGCAACTATAAAATCGTAATTCACCGATTTATTGGCAATAGTTAGTCTCAGGGTAATCTTGCCGTGTACGGCCGCGGGCTCCCCCGTTGCTGTGCGCAGTCTGACTCCATTAAGTTGCGTTATGTTTCCCTTTACCAGATCTGATCTTATGATGGACTTTGATGCGCCAGTATCTAACGTCAGAACTCGCTTGTCACCATTGATGTACCCAGTTGTTGTTAGGTTGTGACTTTTCTGTTGTACTATTGCTATGGAGATTGTGGGGCCATCGTCGATGGGAGCCAGTTCATGCCCCGCTGGACTGGCTCGATTTAGTTTAACGGTGACTCATTGGTGGACTGTTGAGCCATTCGTCTACCATCTTTCGTTGGAGGTGGTGACGATGACCTGGATCGTTTGCGCTTAGCTCTGCATTCGCGCGCAATATGACCTGCTTTATCGCAGTTGTAGCATCTAACCCTGGGCTTAGTCATCCCTACTAACTTTGTTTCTTCTATTACCTGCTTCATGGCGTCCTTGATCGAGTTAACGAGAGATTTGGGTTCGCAACCTTCGGTCTCCAGTTGGCGAATCTTGTGGATCTGGGGCTTAACAATTATTCTTGCCGTCTCTTGGGCAAGGGCAAACGACACGGTTTCGGCAAATGACGCTTTTGGTGACGCATATGTTGCACATTTAATCTCAGGGTCACGTATGCCATTCACAAAAGTTTCGATTTTAATACGGTCCACCAATGGGTGATTTTCTCCTGGATACGCCATTAGCACCAAACGTTCCACCTCAGCTGCAAAGTCTTGCAACGTCTCGTTTGCCCTCTGCACTCTTCCCCTTAGTTCCATAAGGTAGATGTTTTGTTTATGTTCGCCACCGTACTTACGTTCCAGTGCAGCAATAACATCTTCATAGTTGTTCCTAGAAGCGACAGGAATACTCTGTATAACATCAGCAGCACTGCCCTTCAATGCCAGAAGTAGTGCAACCGCTTTGTCGCTGTCGTTCCACGAATTTCTAGAAGCCACTGTCTCGAACTGTAACTTGAAAACATTGAATGACGTAGAGCCGTCGAATACAGGAGGTTTGATTTTTAGTGCGTTATCAGGAACTCGCACCGGACCACCTTTAATTTCCAGTTCCGAAATTTTCTTCTCCAGATTCGTAAACCTGTGGTCGTGGGCCAGAAATTTCTCGTCAACCGACTGCACTTTCTTATCCAACTCTTTAATTTGAACCTCCACAGTTTCCACTCTCCTTCCAATAACTTCTGTAATGTACTCGAGTTTCTCGTTCGTTATTCTCGAATTTTCTTCGAACATTCGTCTCGTGTTTCTGGAATTCTCTTCGAACATTTTAGCCAGCATTTCTCTGAAATCGTCACCCCTGGCAGCTACTGACGAGACTTCCCCACCGTTGGATTCGCCCATTTCCGATAAATCCACTTCATCCTTACTGTCAAACTCATATGTATCGATGTTCATACCACGGCGCTCGAACTCATCCAACAGACGTTTTTGTAGCTCAGCCTTGTTGCCAGTAGAGGACAATTCCAATTTATTCAGCTCCTTCTTCAAGTCTTCCACTCGTAGATCCTTAAACTTCATCGTAGTATTATCGTAATCTCACTTCCGACACCAATTGTTACGTTCTTGGATTTTACTAAATCCCGTGTAGACGTTGTTTTATTTCCCGATACAATTCGTACCAAATAAAACGCAGGTTCTTTCGGATTACGATTATTACAATGATTTTATTCGCACAACTTTACTTTGCACTTTACTTTACACAACGGTTTCAATTCGCGATCTGATTCACAACTGACTCACTGCCTTTCCATTTCCCCTATTTATATGAGCCTCGCTTGTCGCTACAGAAGTTTCTAGACGATCTGGTAACGCCTAGATCACGAACAATCTACCAATGCAACAAACACACATACAAACTTACATTGAGTAAACAATAACAACAACACATACAAACTTACATTGAGCAAACAATAACAACAACACATACAAACTTACATTGAGTAAACAATAACAACACATATACAGGCGAGGGGGTAACAAAGAAAGGGGAATTAAGCGATCATCCATGATGACGTTTAACAAGAATTGTACGACAATAACAAAATAGAAAATGAAAGAGGAAATGGAAGGATGTAGAGAAATCTATACAGTAGTTGTTGTTGTGAGGTTATTCAAATAAACTGCGTAGTAGAAATTTACGTTACAATTCAAATTCTTAAATTAACGGAATTCATCTAAATTAACTTAAATCTAAAGTTATATTCGTAACAATATATTCCCTGATATATTGATATTTATCCATATTTCACATCGAAATTGCTGTAGTTTTCTATTGCAGATTAACAACATTCGTACCTCAAGATGACAAATTCCCCTTATATATGTGTACCAACCATTTTAATGAATTTTGAATGCACACCACACAATGGCAGACAACAGTCATTTAGATATATTGCAGGGACATTTCCGACAATAATAGTCATTCAGGTACAGAATCGACAACATTTTTGGTCTGTTCCCGTACTGCAAGAATCTACTCGATTTTACTATTTTCTTCGATATCATAAAGGAAAAATGTGTTATCGGAGTAAAAAATAGTAGATTCTTGCAGTACGGGAACATACCATTTGCTGTATCGATATCCGTTCACCGACACCTCAAGAATATTGCCCAATGAAGCCATCAAAGTATAACATAAGGGGACTTCAGGATTCGCATGTTTAGTTGGCTTCTTTTATTGTAAAAAAATAAATGTGTACGGCGTCCAAAATTAAGTTTGACTCCGATATTCCTTTATAAATTGACATTTCATACAAAGTCAACTTTACAAGCCAGGCCTTAAACCTCGTATGGGTTTCTCACTTTACAAACCACACAGGCGCCGCCTACGAACAAGGTATCTTCATCAGCCCTCGACAGTGCCGTTAGTCATCGACATAAGGATCTTGTTCTCCCTTTCGACTCAGGTTTCAATCAGCAGCTTGTATTTCTAAATTAACTTTCTCGCCTGGGTCGGATTTCATACGAAGTAGCAGTTAAGGGCTAAACAGAATGTTCGCGTTGGGCGTTTTTTGTTATCGCGTTAACGCACGCAAAAAGTTAAAATATATTTAACTCCGAAGCGCAGGGCACATCAACTTCGAGCGTTTGTGTTATCGTTTCCTTGTGGTTGTTGTATTTTCGATAACTCATAACGCAACGGATGGCTCAACGCGAACATTCTGCTTAGCCCTTTAAAGTAAACGAATGTCTGCAATGTATTTTATATCGATTTCGAAAACTGTGTCAAATTCTAGCTTTTCACCTGAAAATATGTAGGCAACTCTGCTTCTGCTCTTTACAATTCTGTCAATTCAACTAACCTAGTTCATTTGCTCCCTCTAATGAATCGTTCAATTGAACTAGTCCGTTCTCGAACTAAACCACTCTACTGCTGATACGGAATATGGATTGACTGTGGCTGTGTAAAAGTAAACATCGTCGTCGAATTCAACTCAAAAGAAAAGAATTACATCGTTCGTTTTGTAGTAGCATATAGTTTTTTTATTATATTTTTATTTTAATTTTCAAAATGGCTGAGCAGCAACATTCTGCAGAGATGTTAGGTAAGAGGATGGACATGGCACGGAGTGGAGGCCATAAATGTATTGAAATTATAACATTTAACCAAAATTAGGAGTACCGTGTAACGAAGAATACAGCGGATCCACAATGATGGATCAAGATCCGAGTAGTGTTGACAACCGTGGCGAGGGGCAGAAACACTACTCACGTTGCAGCAGTGCTGGAAGTATACATACCCCGAATTCATCGCCCCACAATACAGGTAGGTGGAGGAATCTGCCATTTGTTTGCTCTTCAGTTGAGTGTTTATCTTCAAGCTAATCATCATCACTCACCACAATTGCTGCGTTTTATTTGTTTGTTTTGTTAGATGATGACGACGACAGTGGCGATAACTGCAGTGGTCGTGGCGGTTCAAATGCCTCCGCCTTGAGTTACAAAGAGCGACGACGGGAAGCACACACACAAGCTGAACAAAAGCGTCGCGATGCCATCAAGAAGGGTTATGATAGTTTGCAGGAGCTAGTACCCACCTGTCAGCAGCATGATTCCGCATCGGGTTACAAACTGAGTAAAGCGTTGATTTTGCAAAAATCCATTGACTATATTGGGTATTTGAATCAGCAAAAAAAGAAACAAGAAGAAGATAGTGCTGCCCTGCAAAAAGAAGTGACAGCACTGAGAATTATACAAAATAGTTATGAGCACATGTTACAACATCAACAGGCGAATCCCGGGCCAGAGGAAGCACGTCTCACAGATGAGGCTAAATTTCAGGTGGTAAGTAAAATCTCAGTCGTTTCATATTTGAAATATTTAACCTAATGTGTTCTTTTCCCCCTTTAGTTTCAAGCTGTAATGGATGAAATGTTCGAAACGTTCCAACACATACCCATGGATAATTTCAAACAATTAACAACGGGTGTTATTCCATGGCTCGAAGAGCACTGTAAACCCCATATACTACGTAATATATTAAGTAGAACGTTACAGGAAATGTCGATGCAACAACAACAACAGCAGCAACAGCGTATGAGTGTCGATCAACAAGACAATGATGGTTTCAGTTGATAGCTATTACGTAATTGCAATTATTACACATTTTTGTTGGGATCTTCTTCTTCGTTTTTTACATTTATCTACATAGTAAGAAATTGTCGACGACGGCGACGTCTTCAAATTATTTTCATAGGGTTTAAGAGGAAAACATACTATTGTTTTATTTAGTTAAATTTTTTATTTTTGTCTTTAATAGTATAAGCATGTATGTATGTATTTTACAACAATAACACTGAGAAAAAATAATTAAGAAAAAAGAAACAAAGAGGTTTGTGATAAAATTACACTAAAACATTGTTTTTTACTTTTTCTTGACTACAACTTGGAGAGATAAGATTTCTTTTGGGCATTGTTGTTTATGATATGATTAAATGATATACTGTTAATTTTAAGTCGATGAAATGACGTTTTTGGAATCGCTCATGGCCCTTTGGGCTAGGTTCTCGTTCATGAAAGAAATTAAATTGAAATAACGAATTATTATTATAATTTAATATTATATTTGCTCAGAAATTCGAAAACATGTGTTTTTACTAAACTAGCTTTATTTTATTGAGGCTACCAACGAATATGATTTGTTGTTAATGAGACACAATCTTTGCCAATATGAAGTTTATTTTTGTTTGTGCCTATATTGTACATTTTGCTACTTTGGTCCGACAAAATGATAAGATATAGATGGCATGTTGCCTATGCCTTAGGGGATTTTTTGAAAGCAGTGTATTTTAACATGCTCAAGTCGTTATCTGTAATTTACACTCGTCATATTGTAATTATCACAAAATGGTTTATAAAAATCGTTATTAATTTTTTTTATATAAAATGGAAAGGGATAAACATAAACCGTGTTAAACATATGGCAAATTAAATTAGTCTTGGAAACAGGTATATAATTTATGTGTACAAATATGATTGTTTTTTATTTTATATATTTCATAATGCCCAGTCATTCGACCTTAAGGCTGTAAACTACGTTTCACAATTAAATATACATTTCATCATGATAAAGCGGCTTAAATGTAAAATGTATTGGACTACTAAAAAAATATTATATCGAGCAAATTATAAAAAAGTTTTAATAAATTAGATATGGGTTAGATTAAAAACTTTTGGTTTTGATTAATTGGATTATGACTACTCCGGTAGGAATGGGATGGAGGTTAATCCGCACCAAAAGAAAATTAATATGTATAAATATGAATTGTATTTTGATCTAATTAAATTGTATCACAACTTCAAAACAAATTTTTATACATACATACGTATTTATAATAATAAATTGAATTTGAACTACTCCAAAATTGAGGTGAAAGTGTAGATGATATGATTTGATGATCACTGGCCAAATTGCTCTCGTTCCGTAGACCGATATACCCCATTTGCAATACCAAACATCCTAGTTGTAATATGGTGAAGGGTTTAAAGATGGTATCTTCCTGAAGAGGTTGCGCTCTAGATCCCTTCTTAGATTTTAATGTAGATTAGGAAAAATATTACGATTTGCAAAGTATGTATCAAATCAGATATTACATTGTCTTGATATTGGATTCACAAATGTTTAAAATGTTGACATTTGTTAGGAGTGGATCAACGGGTCTCATCATCAAGCTTTATCTCTGTAAGGTAAATATATTACCATGTACATGTAAGTTTGGATGAAATTCGGTATTCCATTCGCTTCATATGAGATAAACAAGTTTTCAAAATGTTGACTCTTTGTGGGGGACATACTAAGTCCCATTTTCCAACATTAAAGAGGCATGGTGAAAATATTATAATAGATTTTCCAAAGATTAGTTAAAATTGGATAGTCCCTTCGCATGATGTTATAAAATGAATTTTCAGCACAGGTACCAGAATGAATGGTTCCAATCTCTAAATTCAATTCAGTTTGAAAGAAATATTACGATGTACATATTTGGCATCAAAACGGACATCCCATACTATGCTAGGTAAAAATATTACGATGTGTAAAGTTTGGATGAAATTGGATATTCGGTTCGCTCCATATTGGATTTGCAAATTATCAGAATGTTGACCATTTGTGGGCAGGTATAGGTAAAGTATTAGATTGTGCATAATTTGGTTCGAATCGGATGCTCTTTTCGTATGATATTATAAAATGCATTTTCAGAACAATATTGTCCATTTAGTGGGGAAGGTACTAGAAGGAGTCTAACCGTGATTTTGCCCATCTTCAAAATTAATATGAGTTTGAATGTAATATTACGATGTGCATAATTTGGATCAAATCGGACATTCCACAAATATTTAAAATGTTGACTGAATCGGATGCTCTGTTCGCAAGATATTATAAAATGCATTTTCAGCACAATTTTGACCATAATGTGGGGGAGGGTCCAATTTTCGTACTTGATCTGGGCTTGGTAAATATAATAGGTTGTGCAAAATTAGGTTTAAATCGGGTATTGCGTTCGCAAGATATTATAACATTAATTTTCAGAAAAATGTTGACCACTTTGTGGCGGAGGAACCAGCATGAGTGGACCGATATTCCCCATCTTCTAATTTAAAATAAGTTTGGAAAAAATATTTTGAGGTGCATTAATAAATAAAATGCATTGTAAATCGACTCCATTTCTATTTAGTTTGGAACTTTTTAGAACGGGCTTCTCATCACATTTTGTCCTTCTACTATAATATATAATAATTATATAAATTAATAACATCTATAAGCATCTCTTCTGTAACAGGTTGGCAAGTAGCTCCCATCTAGAACATAGTTTTTATTTTTTAACTTTTTACAAGGGATGCTAACATCTCACGATATGTTATTCTTCTTCTAATAGAGTGTATATTCAATTTGCCAAAATGTTTGCAAAAACTCAATAAGAGTAAAATTTTGAAGAAATAACGACAGTCCATCTGTCTTTAAAAATCACTACGACTTCCAGGTTATATAAAATGGAATATATCGGTTCCCTTTTTGATATATGGTCTGTTCCCGTACTGCAAGAATTTACTAGATTCTACTATTTGCTTCGATAACATAAAGGAAAATTCGTTATCGTAGTAAAAAGTAGTAGATTCTTGCATTACGGGAACAGACCAATAATCTCCATATAAGTTTAAGGTTTTAACAGAATGCTCCAACGGAAGAGACATTTGTTTGTTTTTGGGTTTTTGAAAAAAAAACATATTTGCGGAGCATTTTCAATATATGGTCATGTTTTGACATAGCAGTCCGACTCGATGGTGGATACTGTACCGATATTTTTCAAAGGTTTAGCAGCATTATCCAACGAAAGGGACTGTAATTTGTTATTCTGTCCGCCCGTCTGTCTTTTAAAATAACTATAGTGTTCGGAATAATTTAGATATAGATTAAAAAAATCGTTGCATATATTACTCCTAGGATGTATATAGTTTTGAAAATTGTATATATCGGTCCTTTTTTGGTATAGCCTCCATATTTTTATGCAGCATTCTCGAAAATGTAGTTGTTTTTTTATTTGGAGAATGAAAATCATATTTATAGATCATTCCAATATAAGACCGTTTTTTGACATAGAATTCCGTGTTATTTGTTCGGATGTTAACAGCAATTTTCTCCGTAATTTCTTAATTTGGGGTTTTGGGACGTGAAACCCTAAATTTTATCCATCATTCATTCCATTCTTAATATAGTTTTACGTTTGGACACATCCCACGTTTAAATTTGAAGCTTCAACAAATTAATTGAGGATATATATCGATATTTTGTTGTTGTTTTTTTTTACAGGATTAATCGAATTAAAAACATTTCTTATATTTTGTTCATAATTGGAGGATAAAAAGGAAATAAAGGAAACAGTCTATTATTCTAAACAGTATAATAAATATATTAATCATGGATTTTCATCTAGCCCGCCAAAATCAGAAATTCTTCAAAACAAATTTAAATAATTCGATAACTCCAATTTGACTTTTGCAATTAAAAGTTAATTAATCGATTACTTTCAAAATCGACCTAGCAATCCCTTGTCATTGGGACGACAACTAGCGTCACTTATTTTCAAGAAAAGTTTTTAGACGTTGACGTTCAGAAAAAGTGATTGTGTTGAGAAATTGTTATTTTTTTTAAGACGAAAAAGTGTTAAACGAATTCAAATTTATGATCATTTTTATATTTTGATTTTTTTAAATTGCAACAACAAATAGAAAAGAATTGCATTGCATCCAGATGGCGATTGAAACGAATAAACTTTTGCTGTCGACACAGCAGGAAAAACCAAATCATTATACGTAAATAAAACCAGATTTTTTCGAAACCAAAAATTGCTTTTTTGCATCTTTGTGTACAGTTTTAATAATAATATTTAATATGTATTCTATTTCATGGTACAATCGCGCGTTCGGATTTGTGAATTATTTCGATATTGTTGTGCAGATATTTAAAGGAATTCCGTGTGGAACAGTGCCAGTCCTTTTTGCAACATAAATGCAATCAGCATCGACCCTTTGTTTGCTTCAATTGGCATTTCCAAAATCAAAGGCGCCGACGACCGATAAGAAAGCGGGACGGCACCTTCAACTATAGTGCCGACAATTATTGCACAAAATATGATGAAACCACGGGCATATGTCCAGATGGTGACGAGTAAGTATTAATCATTGAAAATCAACCCAAAATATGTTTGCAATGGGAAATTGCGTATTATTGTGAAAAAGAGAAAAAATGAAGTCGTCGTAGTCTGGTTGGAAGATGTGTGTGGTATGTACGTGCTTGTTTGTGTGTGTGTGCCTGTATCTATGCTGCTCTATGTGCAGTTTTTACTTTCAAAATAAATCTCCATATTGTTGTTGGTAGAATTCATAAATTCTAATTAAAATTCATTTTTTGAATTTGTTGTTTTTGTTAACGAAAAAACCAAATAAAAACATTTGTTGATGTATTGTGTGGCTTTGCGAAATTACTTCGTCTTATTTATCCACCCTATCCCCCCTCCATCAACAATCATTCCATTAGTAGTAGTTGGCGTTTTTTCGTCTTCTTCTTTGAATGTGTATTGCTTTCATCATTTACGCATTTATTTTGTTTGTATTGTTTTTTCTTGTTTCCCTTTTGCTCGGTTGTGTTGTTTTTTTCTGTTTCCATTCATTTTTGCCGCTTCTCTCTCCTTTACTCATTCGTAATTGGATTTTTTGTCTCTGTTTAATTGTATATGTTTTGCTTATTTCGTTTTAATGTTTTGTTCTTATGGTTTGTTGGTGTGAGTGTGTGTTTGTGTGAATCATAGGGTAGGTAATCGGTTATTCTTCATGCGATATCACAACAAAACCGAGAAGAGTAATGCTGTCGTTGGCGTTTTTTGTGTGTGAACATATTGGCGTTTTCATTGAGTTTTACGCAGTGGAGTGTTAACTGTACTACCGGATTTAATTTGGAATCAAATTTCCTTAAATGGGGACTGAAAATAATTTCTATTATTATTCAAGGCGTTTCTTAATTTATTATTAAAAAAATGGAAAATTAAGATAGCCAATTCAATTCTGTCCAACTGAAGCAAATTGGTCCAATTGGAATTGTTGATTGTAGGCATTCAAAATAAATACATAGTACAGCAACAGTTGTACAAGATATGTAAATATTGTATTGGTAGTCATATTGGAGGGTTGTCTATAGTTGTGGGATAAACACATTAGAGGATCTTCGGATAATGTGGACCACCTTTTTCTTAGGATTATTGTTTGTACTAAATGATACCAAATGGTTGAACCAGTTAGGTGGAATCTTCAAATTTGATGTTAGGACCAGAATTGGGCTATGCAGAAAGTTTTGGAAATTTGTACTAATATGTAGGGGAGAGGGGGGCACCTTTGAACACTTTTTGCTTTCAAGCCTTATAAAATTTTTTATTTTATCATTTTTGGTTTCTTATAAATTTTAACTAATAGGTACATATGAAACCTTTAAAATGAATATACATATGACATACTATAAGCTTGATAAATATATTTTATTACTGTTTTAATGGACGAACTCAAAGTGTTGAAAACTGCCCCCCAGGGGGGCACCTTTGAACAGGGGTTGGCATTTTTGAACGACATGGTTTTTTACAGTGTTTATGTTCAAATATGTATGTATTTTATTCATACATATCAGAAATGCATTAATTCATTAAAAAATATATAAAAAATGTTCAAAATTTAAAAAATTTAGATCAAAAATTATTAAAACATAAAATGTCTTAAAAATACAAATTAATATGGTGAAAAATACAGTTAATTTCGTAATCTTATTAGCCCATTTGAAATTTTGAGAAATCGAAGCCAAAAGTTAAAAACTCCTTTTTTACTCGAGTTTAATGGGCATGTTCAAAGGTGCCCCACCCATGGCATTTTACGGAAATTTAAAATAACTTTTTTGTAATAAATATATATGAAAGAAATTACATTAGTTATGTTTGAAATGATTGTTGGAATGCAAAAAATTTGTTTGACGAAAGAAAACTATCACAGAATTCTTCCTGCGCCCTTACAACGAAATGAATAAAAGTTTACAATGACACTGAGAAAACATGGTCACCTATGCACAATTTTTCGACAACTGAAAAAGCAAGCCAAAGTGGTTTACGCATATAGAGAACAAGATTGCCATATACAAAAATGTGGTTGCGGGTCGGAAAAATATTAAACCAAGATTTTATGAGCGCTGTTCAAAGGTGCCCCACGTTCAAAGGTGCCCCACGTTCAAAGGTGCCCCCCTCTCCCCTATGTATGCTTACTTAGCTGGCTTGTGACAGAACATTCGTTCCATAAGCCGAGCTTAGAAAAGATTTCTAGGCGCATCGGTCTTTTGCGCAGTTTTTCCAATTTGAAATACCATATTCGACAATGTTATCTTCCACTTGATCTTTCCATCTTGTTCGTGGCCTTCCCCTTCTGCGTGAACCATCAGCTGATTCGCTTGTATATGCCTTCTGGGTTGGGACATCTTTATCCATTCTCACAACATGACCTAACAATGTCGATGTCCGAGAATAGCTGGTACAACTCATGGTTCATTCGACGGCAGTACTCACCGTCAACGCAGATCGGCCCATAGATCTTTCGGAGAATTTTTCTCTCATAGACTCCAAGAGCTGTTTCATCTGCTTGCGCAAGTACCCATGCTTCAGATCCATAAAACAGCACGGGTAGTATCAGCGTCTTGTAGAGTGTGAGTAGGTGTGGCGGGAGGTGGCCTTGCTTTTGAGTTGTTTGCTCAGACCATAGTAGCATCTGTTGGCCATCACTATCTTTCTCCGAATTTCAAAACTGATGTCATTCGTTTTGTTTATGGTGGTACCAAGGTATATAAAATCTTTAACTACCTCGATGCTGTAGTTCTCAAGTTCCACAATTGGTCCGAGACTACTTGCGCGTTGATACCATCAGCTTGGTCTTCTCGCCGTTTACTGCCAGACTCACTTTGGTAGACTCCTTCTCAATTTGTGTCCACAATTGAGATAAAAAAGGGTCCAAGATATTTATTTCTTGTAATCACTTAAATCTATCGATTATTTGAGGTCTACATATGTGTGAATGATATGAATTTAACTTTCTTTTGATATCTTTAGGGTGATTGTAATTTTATTCCATTTAAATTTTCTAATTCCATTTTTTGTCGGTAACAATCAATATTTTTGTTTCACTGAATTCGCCGTTTCCATCCGAATCAGACACAAATAGCATCTTCTAACGTTCTTCACATTATTTTAGCTTTAGACGTAGAATCAATATAAACGATATTATGGAATTTTTTTTATAAAAGTATCCTACTTCTTATACTTGTCCATTATTATAGTATTACTTTATTTTTTTCTCAGTTGTCCATTTTTACATCGCACAGCAGGTGATACCGAGCGACGTTATCATTTGCGTTATTATAAGACATGTATGTGTGTCCACGATACAGATAGTCGTGGTTACTGCGTTAAAAATGGCCATCATTGCGCATTTGCCCATGGTTCCCAGGATCAACGGCCACCGGTATATGATATAAAAGAGCTGGAAGCTTTACAAAATGCCGAACTAACATTGGATGGTGCCAATGCACAGAATGCATTAGACAAGGAACGTAATCTTATGAATGAAGATCCTAAATGGCAGGATACCAATTATGTGTTGGCCAATTATAAAACAGAGCCATGTAAGAGGCCGCCTCGCTTGTGCCGTCAAGGCTATGCATGTCCACAGTATCATAATAGCAAGGATAAACGTCGTAGTCCACGTAAAGTTAAATATAGGTGAGTAAGCTATATGCTAATGGAAATAGGAAACAGATTAAAAAATGTGTATTTTTTTTATTTTTTATAGATCCACACCATGCCCCAATGTCAAACATGGCGAAGAATGGGGTGAGCCGAGCAATTGTGAGGCTGGAGATAATTGCCAATATTGTCATACTCGCACAGAACAGCAATTTCATCCGGAAATTTACAAGTCAACAAAATGCAACGATGTCCAGCAGGCTGGCTATTGTCCTCGCAGTGTTTTTTGTGCATTTGCACATGTAGAACGTAAGTACACATACCCCAACCGTTCACATTTGTATATTTGTATAATTTAGAAATTGTTTTTATTCTACAAGAATTCTTTTTTTGTTTACTTTAAACAAAATTGGTGTGCTTTTTTCCACAACCATTTTATTATTGACTACCTACCTATATCCACAAAAAAGTCGTAGTTATTTCTGTTTAAAAAGACTAAAATATTTTTGAAAAAAAATCAATTCCCTTAAATATTTTATAAACTCCGTCCATTAAAACTATATTTACAAATGCTTCGTTTCGAAAACACCTACATTCACTACTCTTTCAAAAATGTATTCTTCCTTCCCTGCCACTTTCAAATTTTATCACATACACGTATTTCTTTAATTTCATTATACAAAAAAAAAAAAAAAGGTTTTATTTAATTGGAAAGCTAATGCATTTTAGAAGAGAAGCGAAATGACTTTTTTCTTTATCATTTTCTTTTTTTCTCAATTCCTTTATCTGTGTATGTTTCGAAAAAATCAACTAATTTTTATAAATCATCATCATCATCATGTCAAAAATAACAATTGGTCAAAATCAAAAAATAAATCGTCCACGTGTCCTCCTCTTCCTACAAAACAACAACTCTACCACATTCATCCACGATATGCAAATTTGATTGAAACAAACAAACAATTAAAATAGCCTACATTGTCACTGAGGAGAAGTCCCGCGATATAGATGCAATTACCACAAATTTAGCTTTAAGTGATTTAATATCAAATGCTTTGCCCGATATCAAACCTAAGGATGCAACAAACAACAAAACAGGATTAATGACAATTGGCGAAAATGTATGTATTCCATTCAAATTGAATATATATTATATATCTCTATATAAATATATGCCTTGTATCTATCTATATATTATTAGTAAAACCAAAAAAGCAAAGCTAGAAACCAGAACAGAACACACTTATATATAGCTGTTACATTATATACATACCTTCTATGCTCTTCCCTGTTACCTTTTTTCGTAATACTTTCTTTCTAATTATATTAAATTTTATTTCAAGATACTATTTCATTTCATATAGACATCTAAATTATGAATATTCATCCAATTTCATTTTTGGCCTTTATAGGGGTTTAAATTCAACTCCTTTTCCTTTTTTTAGAAGATATGAAAATTTTATTATCCTAAATTCGAGTATACACTATTGACTGTCGTTCTATAATAGTCCTACATGGTCGACCATATGATGCCCTACACAACTACCTCTGATCGTAACGTGTGAGCATTAATAGCAGGGCTAGTTATTCTACTAGTACTCCAGCTAGTTTTCCGTCAAGCAGAACTCCTACCAGTTCCAAAGGTTGTAGTTTGGATAGTTATCCTACTTAGTTATTCCATTACTACAGCTCACAGCACTCCGTCTAACTATTCATTCAATAGAATTCATTCTCGTGTTCAGACAATTGCGTAACAGGCAGGTTTTCAGCCGATTAATTCCATCTGCCTGCCTCCACAAGGTCCAAGCAGGGAATTTATCCATATACATCCTTCTTAGTCTTGAAATTTAATTGTAATCGTCTTAGAAATAAGGGAATTGAGGTCACAAACTTCATGCACGAAAACAACAACCTCATTGCTACTTTGCAAGAATCGAAGCTGACCAGCATTTGTTCCCTATCTTCTTCCGGAATTAATACATCATTCGGTGAGAAAGGTATACAGAACCAGCGGAATGACAGATATACCTTGGCTTCCTCTTTAAATACTTCCTACTGTGATTCTTTGATTCTGAAATTGAAATTGGCAATGTCTATATTCCGCCAGTCAACAGCATTGGGGCCAGTTATCATAATATCGTTCTTCGTGAGATATGGTTTTCCAAACGATCTATAGACGACTCCATTCCGCTTCCATCAACGAGGAATCCTCTGCCAGAGTTACTGCTAAGTGTTCGAGCTCTCCCGACATTACTATAGTCAGTCCATCGCTTTTTCCATACACTTCCTCGCTTTAAATTCGGATTATATTCCCATCCTGGTCACTGAGAAACCCAGCCCAGAAACCCAGCGATGTCGTGGAGTACGATTAGCGTACATTTATGAATTATAATAAAGCCAACTCCGACACGGCTTCACAAAATTTATTGAGGGCTACTTAACTATTATGCCGCCACCCGTATGTGCCCGAAAGGGTGAGAATATATTCCTTGAAATTGTTCTTAAAGAGGCAAAACGCTTCATTTTCATAGTTTGCACAGCAACGCGACCAACTCCGTGCTGAAAGCGCTGCTGACGACAGATTCCCCCAGATAAGAGCATAGTTCCTCTAAATGATTAGAACACCTTAACAACATCGCGGTATTTTTATTGCGAACCATATAGACGAGTCTCATTCCCACAGATAAGCGCTGAAATTGATACTTTAGTCCTTGAACATTAGGCGCTCTATATTGTTATAACACCTTAACCATTGCAATATAAATTCCAAGCTGCTATGGTCTTCTCTTCAATAACATTAAACATTCAGGTGGCAAAAATGTGCATTGAAGTTATCCGGATTTAGGGGCAATTATCTCCAAATCCCAGACATCCAAAGCTCTTGGTGCAGACGGAATTTCCATGTTCTATTGTAAAGAAGCTTTGTGTAAATGGGCTGATTTATCTGACCAAAATCCTCAAATTATCGATGTCACAGTTGGTAATTCCAGATATTTGGAAAGATTGTTCCAATTCTAACATCAGATAAATCCGTTACTAATGGGGAATCATTTTTCGTTCTTCTGGTATCAAATAATAACGGCGAAGAAATATCCCAGAGTCATTGTGTACCACTTAGCCATGATGAGGTAATCGGCTGAAGAATAATAAAGCTGCACGTGCGGATGGATAATCCGATAAATCCGCTACTAATGGGGAATCCTCTTTCGTTCTTCTGGTATCAAATAATAACGGTGAAGAAGAAGATACCCCAGAGTCAATAAGAGATGACGGTATAGATTGTGTACCACCTAGAAAAGATGAGGTCAGAATAGCAATTAATCGGCTGAATAATAATAAAGCTGCAGGTGCCGATGGATAACCAGCCGAACTATTCAAGGCCGGAGTTAGACGCTGATGAGAAGCATAACCAACTGATTAGTACAATTTGGCTAGAGGAATACATGTCCAATGATTAAAACCTCAGTATCCTGTGTCCCGTGGACAATAAAAGGAGACAAGACGATATGTGCAACTATAGAGGAATAAGTCTCCTTCTTATCGCATATAAAGTGCTTTCCAGTGTGCTGTGTGAACGACTGAATCCAATGGTAAATGACATTATTGTATCATACCAATGCGGCTTCTAATCTGGCAAATCCACCATAGACCATATTTTCCCACTGCGCCAAATCCTGGAAAAGACCCATTAAAAATACATCGACATTTTCACTTATTCGTTGACAACAAAACCGCATTCGACGGCCCAATCCCTGGGTTTGTCAGTCTTGCAAAATTTATGCAGGATAACCTTAAGATCCCTTCAATACCTAACGAGGATTCAGACAAGGCGACAGCATGTCGTGCGGTAACACCTTTGAACAATCCCTGTGTTTGTCAGTCTTGCAAAATTTATTCAGGATAACCTTAAGATCCCTTCAATACCTAACGAGGATTCAGACAAGGCGACAGCTTGCCGTACGGTAACACCTTTGAACATATTGAAAAGGAGTCTGGAAAGTGGGTCTGACAATAAATAGCGAAAATACCAAACGGATGGTATCAACCCGCAAGACGTCAGTTAGACTCGGACCATCTGTGGAACTTGAAAACAGATTTAATTGGCACAAGGCCTGCAGTTAAAGTCGGAGAGGACCTTAGATCCCTTCAATACCGAACGAGAATTCAGACAAGGTGACAGTTTGTCGTGCGGTATCAGTCACCACAGAACGAATTGAGAAGGAGTCAAAGTGGCAGTAAAAAGCGAGAAGACCAAGCTGATGATATCAACGCACAAGACGTCCGGTAGACTCAGACCAACTGAAAACTACAGCTTCGAGGTAGTGAACGATTTTATATACCTCGGTACCGCCATAAACTAAACTAATAGTATCAGCTTCGTATGGATTTGAAGCATAGGTACTTGCGCTAACTGATGAGGCAGCTCTTGGAATGGTCCGATCTGCGTCAACGGTGAATATTGCCGTCGAATAAACCATGAGCAGTACCATCTATTCTCGGACATCGACATAGTCAGACGTATCGAGCTGCAGCGACTACGTTGGCTAGGTCATGTTTTGATAATGGATCCCCCGTTTGAGACAAAACTTTGCGCAGTTTTGCATGCGTAATTTTGTTGAAATCGGTTCAGATTTAGATAAAGCTCCCATACACGATTTTATGTAAATAGTGCACCATACTGCTAATATTTGTCCGATTGAGACAAAATTTCGCATAGGTGGTAAAGGTTATCATATATCGGTCCGTTCGAATTTTTCTTACTGCTTTAAGCTCGGCTTATGGAACAAACGATCTGTCACAAGCCAGCTAAGTAAGTATGGAATGGCGAATCATACTGACCGATTACAGTTCTTTCTTTGGATTCTGCTTTGGTACCAAATATTGAAACATAGAAAATGAAAGAGAAAATTTTGAGGATTATGGAATTTTTTAAATTGTCGGCATAGGTCCACGTTTATTTTATATCTCCTATATAACGATTATTACGTCAGACGCTTTAGCCACACTTTCCAACATTATTTGCTGTATCATAGAACTCTGAAGGTTTGATCAGACCTCCTTTTTCACCTAAACCTATAGCGATCAATTTTACAAATCGAAGAGAGCAATGAGTTTGTTTGAACCCGTTACGAATAGTTATGGGTATTTTAAAATATGTGAAATATTTTGCTAGGTTTGGCATCTGCTGGTCGATTTCACAATATCAGTAAATCAAAAATTTTAAAAATAGTTGAATTTAAACCTTTTTTATTGAATAGTCAAATATTTAAAAATATATCGCATACACCTTCAAACTTACATCCATTCATTTCACAAACAAAAACAAATTACCCATTAAAGACTCACATCCATACATATTGCTAATAATAAATCTTTGCTGATTATATTCATTTTGTTGTAACCGATTCAAATCAAATCATGTTTTTTTTACATCATCTACCTTTTGCTACGTTCTTTTTGTAGTTATTGAATATTGATGGTAATGATTCAGCCAATAATATGTTGGTTAATGCTTTGGAAAAATCCGCTAATCAGAGCAAATATTTAAACTTCCCATTGCCAATGGACAGAATTTGTGAGTATACAAAAATATATAGTGTAATTTTTTTATTTAAAGGGAAATAAAATATATATTCGCAAAATAATTTTTAATAAAAATAATTTTTGAAAAAATATGGTTGTGGATAAATTGCAAAAAAAGAAAACAAAAGTATGCATACAAAATAAATCAAAGTAAATGTTTTTTTTTCGATTTTGTTGTAGATTAATAATAAATATATTACAAGACGGATTAATTAACATCATTTCTATTTTTTAACAGCTGCCTGTTCCATTGATGAGCAACGTGACAATTCATTGTCGGCTAGTTTGGCCAATAGCAGTTTCATTACCAGATCTTCGGCTCCTATTAACATTCCAAATTCGGCACTTAGTAATTCCATAAATGGTAAGTACAGCAAAAAAATTAATACATTAAATCAATTTAAAATATAAATCATTTCATTTCAGATTTCAATTCGAGCGGTTTTGCTGTTAATCTTCCCTACAGTCCCACCACTCACAACACCAACAATTTCTTCAGTGTCCAGGATGCTTTTAATTATGGCGGCGGTTCGAGTACAAATAAACTAAGCAATTCCTTAAGTGCTGCCAATCAAAATGATTGCAGCAATAATTTATATTTTCCCACAAATATTATATCGCCGGGCTTTAATGATGGCCTTTCCATAAGTCCGTCATTTCGATTATCGGAATTGAGTACAATGCCGGATGATTTGAATAGTGGATCGTTAGGCAATAGTCTGACCACCAATAAAAATGCATTTTCATTGCAATCCTTGCCAACGCAAAATAATGGTGATGTCGGACGTATGACATTGGAGTTGATGGCAACCAAAACGCAAGCATTGAAATTATCCAATCGTGTTGAAGAGTTACAGCATAAGGTAAGATGATTGATAAAATGGTGGTTTGGTAAAATTAATATTAAAGTTCTTTCTTGTATTTCCTACAGTTGAATGTTGCCAAACAGGAGGCGCTAAAATGGAAAGACAGCTATGATGCCACACAAATACAATTGAAATTTTTGAATTCGGAGGATAAAGAATTGAGAAATTTGTCAATACAAAAATTAAAGCAATTACAGGTGAGTTTTGTGATATACATTTTTAGAGTAAACTAATTTTTAAAGACATATACGATTAAGAAAATATTGAAGGGTACAAATTTAATTTACCACCCTGTCCAGTACATACCTATCTCGCTTGAACTAAACTCTAGTGATTCATGCATTGATTGTAGTGATAGAGTTGCTTGATTAATGCATACCGAGGATGAATACTTGTACATCGTGATGTTTACCGTCTGATACTAGGGAATTAAAATCCCCATCATAAGAGGATATTGTTACAGCTGGTCACATATCACCATAGTGGCACCATGTCTGATAGACGTAAGCTGGCAGCCCATAATTTCTCTTAGATCATACTGGGAAAACTGAGTTTCCAATAGCATACTGGGAAAACTGTGACTTAGATCATTACTACATCTGAAGCTTGCTATATCTGTCAAATAGCTTGTGATGACCCAATATTGAGAGACTTTACTCTTGAAGCTAAGTGTAGTTGTTTAGTAGATCAACATGAGTATGGATTTTTCAATTCAATTTATTTCATATACGAGAATCTAGCCCAAAGGCCCAAGAGCGATTCAAATGAATGACTATCAATATGAGTATGGATTTCGTAAAATACATACTACATTACCAGATTACCAGGCTCGTCGGGCTTGCGATCAACTCTTCGAAATTGAAAGACCATGTTCCGAAATGTTCTATTCCACTTGATCTTTTCGATTAATTCGTGGCTTCCCCTCTTCTGTGCGAGCCATTAGTTTGCTCGCTTTTATATATCTTTTGTGCTGGGGTATCCTTATAGCAGCTACAGCTCGATACGTCTGACAATGCCGATGTCCGCGAATAGATGGTACAATTCATGGTTCATTCGACGGCGATATTCACCATCGACGCAGATCGGCCCATAGATCTTCCGGAGAATTTTTCTCTCAACACTCCACGAGCTGCTTCATCAGCTTGCGCAAGTACCCATGCTTCAGATCTATATAACAGCACGGGTAGTATCAGCGTCTTGTAGAGTGTGAGTTTGGTCTTGTTTCTGAATTGCTTAGTTAGACCATTGTAGCATCGCTTGGCCATCACTATCCTTCTCCGAATTTCAAAACTGATGTCATTCGTTTCATTTATGACGGTACCAAGGTATATAAAATCTTTGACTACCTCGAAGCTTTTGTTCTCAAGTTCCACAGTTTCTACTGGACGTCATGTGCGTTGATACCATCAGATTGATCTTCTCACCATTTACTGCCAGAACCACTTTGGCAGACTCCGTCTCAATTCGTTCAAAGGTGGCTGTTACCGCTCGCAATGTTCGACCCATTATGTCGATGTCGTCGGCGTAGACGAGTAACATCTGCTGTTTGGTGTACAGAGTACCATTTCTGTTAACCTTTGCGTCTCTTATGACCTTTTCCTACTGGATGTTAAAAAGATCACACGACAAGCTGTCACCTTGTTCACACATCACACTGGATACACTTTATATGCGATGGGAAGGAGTCTAATTCCTCTATAGTTGGCACATTTTGTCTTGTCTCATTTTTGTGCACGGGGCACAGCATTCCTCTATCCAATTTGTACAAATGAGCTGGTGCATGCTCCTTACCAGCATCTGACCACCAGTTTCGAATAGTTGGGCTTGTAACCCATCGGCACCTGATGCTTTATTATTCATCAGCAGATTGATTTCTATTCTGACCTCATCTTAGATAGGTGGTATAGACTCTATACCGTCATCTCTTATTGGTTCTGGGGTATCTTCTTCACCGCGAGTATTTGATACCAGAAGCTTTTCAAAATGCTCATTCCAGATCCTCAACACGCCAGATCCTCACCAGGTTTCCATCTTCATCTCTACAGGAGGATGTGCCTGCACCAAAGCCTCGGCTTTGGTGTTTTACTCGTTGATAAAATGTTCGGACTTTATTCTGACTCCTGGAGATACGTTTCTCCTCTCTGCTTTTCTTCCGATATTCGCTCCTCGTATCGATCGAACGTCTAAAACACTGGACGAATGCCTTCCGTCTATCACAACATGATCGATTTGATTTGTCGTTGTTCGATCTGAAGAAATCCAGATTCGCAGATCGTGGTCCTTTATACGTTTGCGGTGGTCGTTTGGTTTTCTTTTTCGTTGCTTTTTCATAGTATGAGGGGGTTTTCCGAGTGTGGGCAACTAACCCGACGCCTCAACCCATTTTTTATAGTTCTTATGGGTGAACTCGCGGCACATATTAGCTCACTATTTCAACGGGTGATGAAAATAGCCACCCCAGGTGACACCGCGGGGAGTTTAGTGTCCACAATTGATATGAAAGAGGGACCAAGATAAGTCTGGGCTTTGCCATGTTAAAGCCAATCGGAGCCGTTGTTTGCTATCTATCTTCCCCTACGCCACCCTGAAGAGATCATGGTGATAGAAAAATTAGAAGTTTCGCAAGAAAAATTCTGAACAAAATTAGAAATAGGACATCGGTTTTCGGGAATTCGCAAACTTAGAAAATATTTCTTGAAAGTCGGTGTAGAGCTATGCTATGCTTTCTGAAATCAGTGTGGTGGCTATTAAGACCGGGTTTTAAGAATAATGACCAGAAATTTAGCAAACTTTTTTAAAAATTGCAATTATTGAATCGAATTTTGTTCAATTGGTTGATAATATGTTTCTTCAATTTTTTTCTACATGTTGGGCGATTGCTCACAGGGCGGACTTTATGTCCAGACTATGCTGGCGACCAATCCGTTTCTTATTATTATTACAGCCTTATTTTAATGTTATGACTTCTTGTATGAAATAACTTTACAATTACTTTCCATTTGCTCTCCTTTCCAGTCAAAATTACGCACCGATCTAGAGGAAGTCGAAAAGGTTTTGTATTTAGAAAATGCCCGAAAGTGTATGAAATGTGAAGAAAATAATCGTACCGTTACATTGGAGCCATGTAATCATTTTATATTATGTGACAATTGTGCCACTTCGGTGACTGAGTGTCCATATTGCCAAGTACCAGTAGTAACCACACATACCTAAATATAAACAACAACAAAGTAGAAGTGTGTGAAAAAATAATACAAAAAATTCATTAGCGGTGATAAATAGTTAGACGATCATGAATAGAAATGAAATATACCGCTTTATATAATGAAAACAACAAACAAAAAGAAAACTGCGGCTGGTTACCGACAAACAACAACAACATTTATTAGGTACTCAAATTAAAATATTACAAAAAAAAGAAAAACAAAACAACTAATGAAACTAATAACAAATTATTTTTTTATTTCGAATTTTATTTTTTACAAAACAAAAAAGGAAATGTTAGAACACAAGAAACTCGTATTAAATTTATAAAAAACAAAACAAAAATTGAATATTATATATATTTGCTATATAGATATCTAACTTGTAGGAATTCTATTTTTTTACTAAATGTTTTTTCTTTTTATTTCTTTATTGTTTGTAATAAACATAAAATTGTTTACTTTTTTAAAAATATATTAACACAGTGATATATAGAAAACAAACAACAATATATAAAAAATAAATACTTTTGTATTTTAGTTATTTAACAAATTTATACAGAAAGAAGAACATCACATGATTACCAAAATAACAACAAAAAATGCAAAATAATTTCTTAAAAACCACAGCAACAACTTATTTTTTTAATATTAATATTAAAAAATTATATTATTTTCATATTGTATTTATAGTTAGTTACATCCTTTTCCCAAAAAAGATTTTGGAATTGGATGTATAATTAATTAATTTTTGAATATATTGTGGGTCACAGAGTTTTTTTTTTCAATTCGATGGATTTGAACTTGGACTAGAGGAAGAAAGAGATGAAGAACTTTTGTTAGATTACAAAATGTATGATTGAATTTATTGGAATTTTCAAAACCTTGTCATAATCTGATTTAACCTGTGTTAAAAACCTAATATACCATTTTGTGAATAACCATAGGGCTTTCAAAATTTTAAAACCATGTCATAATCTCCCTTACACTGTGTTAAAGAAATTAATATTTCATTCTGAGAATAGTCTTAGGGTTATTTTGAAACGATTTGCGTCTGAAAGTGCGTCTGAAACTTGGAATCCTTTTCAAACAACATTGAGTATAATTCAGCAATTGAGATGAGTCCAAAATGTCGTTCGGGAAATTTGATTAAAATCAGTTGGGATTTAGATGTAGGTTCGATATATAATTTCGTCTGATTTTGATTTTGAAAATGATGCATCGAATATATTTCATTTGTCCGATCATCATGGACCTAATAACTTTGTAACGATTAAATGTAAATGTTGCACCCTAGGTCTTTACTCTGGCTGATTAGGCTGTAGGTTCGATAAATAATTTCGGCTGATTTTGAAAATGATGCATCGAATATATTTCATTTGTCCGATCATGATGGAACTATTAACTTTGTAACGATTTAATTTAAATGTTGCACCCTAGGTCTTTACTCTGGCTGATTAAAGAAACTCTGTGACCCCCTTTATATTCGTGACTTAGACACACACACACAATAGAAATATACATATATATGTATTTGATCGAAAAACTTGTGTTTTTCTTTTATTATTTTTATTTTTTTATACATAAATATATAAAACTATTATTTTTCTAATTGTATTTTTGTATGTATATTTAAGTTCCTTTCTCTAATCGAGACAATTAATTAATAATAATAATTATAAAATAACAAATTATATAAAAAACAACAACAAAAATATTGAAAACAACACCTAATACAAAACAAAATTTGTAAAGAAAAAGGTAATACCGAAAAATAAGAACAATAATAAAACAAATAACTAATGCTTTTTATTATTAAATTAAATAATTAATAAAAAAAAAACAAAAAACAAAATAAGTGTATATGTACTAAAAATTAGCAAACAAAGCAAATTGAAATTCTAAACAAAGAAAAAACGTAAACTATGAAACTAAAACCACCATATATGAACAAAGAAAATACAGTGACAACAACATTGATTGTAAGCAAACAACAAAATATCTACAACAACACTATTATATATAAACTAAGTTTTAGGTGAATCCCTCTCCAAACAAAATAAATAGGTTTTTGCAGAGATTTTAATATTGTAATATGGCTGGTGGACTGCTGCTCTTGTAACAAACCACCCACTCCACATTTGACTGATCATTTAACTAAAAGACACCGATGAAAAAGTAGTAGTTTCGTTTTTTTTTCTATTTAATCTATTTTTTAATATTAATAAATATTGAAATTTATATATGTAATAATATAAAAAATACATAGCATGTTTTTTACTATCACTTATTTTTTTTTTTTTGAAATGAATTGATATGATAAATGTAAGAGAATTGATAATTGAGAGATGGATTGATAATTTGTCACTAAAACAATGGTTTCTTAAATTGATATTCATTGTAATATAGGACCATTTTGGCTTAATATATTTAAAGTTCGTTATTCATACCCAAACTAATTTAAATACGTTTAATACATTTCCAAAAAAAACTTCAATTCATGTAACATTTTTTCCTCCAGTGATTTATATTATGGCAATATTTTAAACACATTCGAATTCAACATATGACAGCTGTAATGTTGTAGGAATAAAAAAAATATTCGTGAAAAGGGGTTTTATTTATTCTATACAACTTTTACATTTTCTCCGTTGCATCCTGAAGAAAATTAAAACCTGAACACTGACAGTTCAAGAGTTTGTGGTAGGTAATTCAATACATCCAATCAGGGACGTACGCAGGGGAAATGAATTAATTTTTTTCACAGTAAATTTATGTTTGCAACAGCGAATTTTTTCATGTTGTACTGCCGGGACCAGACCTCACACTCACACTCAAGACAATATGTCCGTACGTTCAATAAAACATTTTATTCACACATTCAATTAGGGAGTTACTAAATTGAGTGTTACTAAATTAAAAAGTGTGGTTATTAAAATTAAATAACTTTTATTGCTTTAAAACATAGAAATAAAAATTAACTGAGAACGAACTTAAAATGTGACTCCTATTTCAATTTTTCTTCAAATACGACAGAAAATTATTAACGTAGCTGGGTCGGAAAGGGTTATAGATCTTTTTATACAAAAAAAAAATATTTTTATACTCTCTGCCTTACAATTACTGAAGGTATGTACACTTTGCAACGGCATAAAGGTACTTCATCGAAATATTACTTGTCCGTCCGTCTGTCTGTTGCATGCGATAACTCTCGAAGGGAGTAATCGATTTCCTAAAAAAATTTGGACACCGTAATATTTCCTTCAAATTTAATTCAAGTTCCAAAATGGGCCCATCGGAATTATACCTTTCATATACGATTATACTTTTCATATGAACAGTGTTGCCAATTTAGTACAAAAAATGATCTATCACCCATCATCTTCTTTAGCATTTTTATTTTTTCCGGAATATTTAACAATTTTCATAAAAAACGGTCGGGAACTTCACATGGTGACTGTGGCATTGTCTACAATTAGGTTGTTTATTTGGGAAAATGAAAAACCAAATTAAGCGGAACCGTTTTATGGGAGTGATGTAAAAGTCATGAACCTAAATTGGAAACATTCCGGAAAATATTATTTTTTATTCACCGCGAATCCAGAATGTAAAATTAAAACCACGTCAGCGTACCGAAAATTGATCGTGTCTCACTTTATATGGAACTTATGTCAGTTGATGGACCTACATCGAAAAATGTTGGCAAACTTAGTTTTTTTAAATTACAGTCAGTTCGATGGAAAAAGGTTCCAAAAAGTACGCAAATAGAACGAAAATTGTATATGGGGGATATGTACAACATATAGATCTACGTCCGCATAAATATGTTTCACCCTAAAAGCCCCAGAGAATATTCCTAAAATCTTAAAAATACCCAAAATAGGGCGGTACTCTTATATGAGGGCTATGTGCTAACCTTGGGGGTTACTCTGTATTGCGTTGCGAAAGCAAGTGCGATGCGAAAGCTAAATGCGTTAAGAGTACAATTTGGTACTCTGTAACGTTCACGCAAACGCATTCGCAAACTAAATTGAAAATAGGGCAACACTGTCGCCACAAAGTAAACAATAACGAAGAATGACAAAAGGAAACGTCAAAAAATTGTAAATGAAAACATATTTTTGTGTGGTACGAGTGTTTTTTTTAAACAAAAATAATGAACGAATAAAAAAAAAGAATTTTATGAGATCTATCAAATATACTCTCCCTAAGTGACCACGGGTATGAAAATATAAATACGAATTATGTGACAAATGTTTTCAAATATTTAATTTTTATAGATTTATATAAAATGTCTCAATAAAGATTCGTTTATGTATTTTTTAAACGCTCGTCGTTTCAAATAGATCCATAACAATTCCAACTCCAATAAAAGAGGCCGCTGCTTTGAAATTGCTTGGACAAGGTGGTTATCAACACCAACCTATAAATATGCACACATAGTTTCACATTTTATATAAAAAAAAATAATATATTACTTTTTCCAACCACCGACATCTTTTACAGGAGGTCAATTTGAATTGAGGTCATCAGACAGTTGGACAAATTGTTGGCGCGTTGTTTCGTATTTGAACTCTGCAACTGTCCCTTTGCCAAATCACTGTGTTGCCCCATAAAATCTACTGAAGTTAGGAACTGACGTTGCTGAGCCTGTAACTGTGACTTTTTTGCCTTTTACTTAAAATAATTTACAATTTATATATAAATAAAACCTTTAATGGAGCTTACTTATATGTTTCGCTTCCTTTGCGTTTGCTATTTTGTTAACGCAAGATATTTGCGCTTAACGAACGAGTTTGACATGCGTTTTCGTATTACAGAGTGCGGTGATGCTACATTTGCGTAAAGTAGATGCGAAAGGAGATACGAAAACGAATTAGAGAGTACCAATTACGCTATGCGTTACAATTTTTCTCATGCATCGCAATACAGAGTAGCCCCCCTTGACATAAATTGATAATAATCTGCCTCCAAAACCCCGAAATCTGAAATTACAGTTACTTTGGTGAGAAAATACCAAAAATTGGTAGCTG